TCATCTCCACTCAAAAGATTTTCTTAATTTTACAATGCTTCATAAGTACAAAAATAATTAGTTATCAATATTGTGGCAGACACTTATCTTTTTTTAAAATTGCTAATCCTTTGTACACTCCATTTGTAAAGGTGCCATCTTTTTTTCAGTTTTAAACATTGGAATCTTTGTGGGGTAACAAATACTTACAATGCTTATGGAACAATAAGTTTTTCATAGCCATTAAAGTAAATCTTCAAACCATATTCCTACCAATTGTTTGAAATTGTTTTTCTTCAAACAAGAGTTTCTAGTGCTTACAAACAAAAGGATACAATTTCAATACATACCAGATGTTTGCCACGTTATCCTGGTGTTGTCACTTATTTTTTTTCTTTCCTTTTAGGCTATTTACGTGCCAGCTGATGATTTAACTGATCCTGCTCCTGCCACCACTTTTGCTCATTTGGATGCCACCACTGTGTTGTCAAGAGGAATTGCAGAATTGGGTATCTATCCCGCTGTTGATCCTTTGGATTCTACCTCTCGTATTCTAGATCCCAATGTGGTGGGTCAAGAGCACTACGAAATTGCTCGTAATGTCCAGGAAATTCTCCAGGTAAGGTGTTCCATATACCTCTCGGCTTCAGAATTTAAAAATCCTTAGACTCTGTCATGATTATTGAAAATTTATAATTGCAATTATAACGATCTTAACTCTTTCAAATTTTTTTTTTTTTCTTCTGGAAATTGTTAGACATGGTAGATAGTCTTGTTTGTGAATGCTTTCAGCAAAGGTCAAAAGTTGTATTAAATAAATTACCTTTTGAGAGGCAGATTTTCTTTTGTTGAGAAATCTGAAAAATGACTTGCAGCAAATCTTTTCTTTTTATAAACACCTTTTGAGATTAATTTGACTTAGGGAAAATAGTCAACAAGGCTTAAAACAAAAAACTAAACATTTTTTTTACTTTTCCAGAATTACAAATCCCTTCAAGATATCATTGCCATTTTGGGTATGGATGAGTTGTCAGAAGATGATAAATTGACTGTCACTCGGGCCAGAAAGATCCAGAAATTCTTATCACAGCCTTTCCAGGTTGCTGAAGTTTTCACCGGTTCTCCCGGCAAATATGTGCCCTTGGCTGAGACCATCAAAGGTTTTTCCTCTGTGCTCAAAGGTAAGCCATAATATTTTTGCCCTTGGGCAGTTCTGAAAATTTTATTTTAATGAATGCATAATTAAGTTTGTATATGAAGCGGGGTGGGGCTGGAAATGACGACTTAAATCTTCTGTAATTTCTCTTACAACAATGTTAAAAATTGATTATCAAAATAGGAAGTTATGGAGAAATCAAAACCTGTCCCAGTATGTTACCTCTTGACTGAATTGGCAGGGATTCCTAGCTGTTTGCTGAGATCAAAAATGTTTAATGAGTCCTACTCTTGGAGTTTAAAGATTTTAAACTGTTCTTACTTTAAAGTCTGTTCCTCCCAAATGAAAAAACAATTCTTGGCTTAACTCGCTCTCAATTGATCAAACTGGATTTTTTATAACTGCAAACAATTTTTCATACACTGTTGGTTGGCATAATGCTTTTTTTCTTCAACTCTTCACTGAACTTCTCTTGGCCAATTTATTTTTATATATATATATATATATATATATATATATATATATATATATATATATAATATATAAAAGAAAAGAACAGTAAGATATAAAATCTGGTGTTAAACAAATTAATTTATTATATATATAATTTTTTTTAAAATGAAGCTTAATCTTGATAAATATTTCATTTGTCCATGAAAATATGGCAAGACTAATTTGACAAAAAAAAAATTTCCTTTGTTTGAATGTCATTTTAGTGAGTTGCAATTGTCCTTTAGTCAAATGGCACTCAGAAAATATCTTAAGCTGGTGAATGAGATTTACCAATTATTTTGGGCATTTAATGTTAATTGAATGGAAAATTAAAAATATTTTTTTTTTGTGTTTCAGGTGAACAAGATCACTTGCCCGAAGTTGCTTTTTACATGATTGGCAACCTTGAAGAAGTAATTGCTAAAGCCGAGAAATTGGCTGAAGAACAGTCGTGAGCATTTTTAACGTAGGCAGAAAAGGCATTGTACATTGTTGGCCAAATTGTTCTTTTCCTGGCTCAGTAAAAGAAACCAGTTCACCTTTGTAGATAATTTCATTGAGAAATAAAAAAAAAATTTAACTTTGACACTTGGCTTTGTGACCTTTCTTTTTAATTTTGATGTCTGTACAAAAGAAACAAAGTTAAAACATAAAACTGTTTAATGTCAATTCAAAAAGGAATTGATTCTCTTTCAGCCTTGAATACAAAATTGGGCGTGATTACAATTAGGGGAGGCTTAATAGGAAATGGGGTGAGAAATTCTGGCTTAATTGTAATATCTACAGAATTCACAAAAGGCTTGATGTTCAGTCTTCATCTGAAGAATCTACCATGTTATTGGTCCTGACCTGGCATCTGTTTCAGTTGCTTACTTACTGCTGTAATATAGCTTCTCCCTGTGCCTTTTCTCTAAATACTTTCATGGTAATTGTTCTGATGAACTTTTCTCTGATACCTGGACTTCATGAATTTAGTCCTTAGAAAAAAAAAAGCTGCTAAAGCCTTAAAGAGAAGAAAATAAGATACAAATGACCAAAGTCCATCATCCTGGTTGTAAATATTTCTGAATGCCTTCTGGGGAGGGGTGGGAGTTTCTTTTTTTTTTTTTTTTTTTCTTTTAACACTATTGTTCATGTCTACTTAACAAATTTTTTCTTATTCTGTTTTTCAGACTTCAATAATCTTAAATCTGTCAATTTTAACTTGGGTTGACTTGAGCTTGTAACATTTCAAAGAGGGGGAAGAGATAGTTTCATGCCTTTCCCAAGGGTATTAGCATGTAAATGAAGGTAATGGAATCCAAACTTGTTTCTCTGATTCCTCAATCCAAACTGCAAACTATTATTCCACTGTGTCTCCTTTGCTTTTAAGAAATCCAGTGCAATGAAATTAGACAAGTTGTAAATAGGAATCTGGGGAAAATGCAATGCGGAAGTCGCAAACTGTTCCAATTTTGATGCCTTTTGTTTATTGTGATCAGAAAGTCCCAGTCGTCCAATCTACCCAGGTTTGAGGATGGTTTTCCTTCTAGACTGGCTTTTAACCATGCCTAAAGAGCTTACTATACTCTATTTAATTCATAGGTGGGAGGAAAAGATATTTTTCAGGGTATTTGCACGAAAGTGAATGTAACAGACACTAGCTCAAAACCATTACACCACTTGCACATCCATTAGATTGTGGCATGTTGTATTGAATCTGCCATATTTTGTTGCATTTCTTACAAAAACTCCAAAGTTTGTACTTCCTGATTTATAAAAAAAATAGTCAAGTTCAATTTATGGCATCTTGTGTTGATTTCAAATTAATGTTCTTGTGAAAGGCATAAATCCACTTTCCCTTGCATTGTAAGATACCTTGATAAAAACCTTAGTGCCTGTAGGCAAAAAGGTAAACACTTGGTAAACTACTCTCCCGGAATTACTACTGCTGGTCAGGCAGTAGCAACACAAGAGCTGTGACACTCGTGATTATGATTCCAATCTAACAAAATTATAACCATGGAATATTAGTGTTTGAGCCTTTTATTATATATATATTTATATATATATATATATATATATAGGGAGATTAATATAAAATTTTTCGCTTAGTTGATTGATGTCATATTTAGTGCCTCTACTCTGGAGTTTCATAGATGAACCTTCGAATAATTATTCAGTTCACTTATCGGCAATTGCCTGTTGATTTTTATTTTTATATTAAGTTAAAATAACTTGTGTGCTTTTTTTTATTGGGGTGGTTTCTGCTTTGTGTGTGTATACACGTGTAAAATGTTGTTTATTTCCTCATTTCATAAATTTATCACCTTCTTTCATTGTTCCCCTTTTTTTTTTTCTTTTCTCTTTTTCATTCCCAAGTGTCAAAAGATTCTTATTTCTGCTGTCAGAGGTAGGATTCGTATTTAGGTAAATTTTTCTGGAATATTCTGGGGTTTTCTAGTTTTTGAAAATATAGTTGCATTCTACTTTTTTCTGTTTATTATACTGTTGAAATAACAAAGTAAATATTTCTTTCTTTTGCTTGCCCCATATTTTGTTCTTATTTACCTGGTTTGGTGTAATCTTATTAGTCTATTAATTATGGAAGGTTTGCTTACATATTTGGTATATTTATGGATAAGTGTATTCTTTTCTCACACTTCTTGCTTGTGGAACTCTCTTCTGACTTGTTGCTTTCCAGACAAATTTGATCTTCAGAAATTTAAATGCAATGTCAATCATTAATTTCTGTAATCTTAATTCCTGTTCTTTTATTGTTCTCACCATTCATCTTTTTTTTTTTTTTTTTTTTTTTTTTCTTATATTCTTTCTTGTCTTAGTTTTGTTGTCATGCTTAGTGAAATGATTTTAAAAAAAAAAAAAAAATAGAAAGAAATCTTGGGCAAGGTGGTACTGATGACATGGAATAATCTATCATTGCTTGGGGTCTTGGAATAGATAAAAATGGTAACAAAGCAGAGCAATATAGCAGTTATAAATGATATGTTTAAGCAGACTAGCAGGACAATCCATGTTATGTGAATACATCCTTACCATTATGGAATCATTACCAGCCTATACAGTTCCTTGTTGATAGCTGAGGTGCATAGCCTCATGAAGTTTGTACCACATGTGGAGAAAAAAAACCCTTACCATCAGCTCAAACCAACTGGAACTGTGGCTCATTGGACCATTTTACATCTTATTTCTCTTAATTTTTATTCCATCAATAGTCAAATAGGAGTTGACATTCTGTTAAATCCAACAACCAACCATCAATAGTATGGGTGTTATATTTAAATTAATTATTATTCCAGTAAATATAGAAATGAACTCACAAGAAAAATATAATTTTGTAAACAAATTATTACTAAAGCAAAACTGGTAAAATTTCTCCAGAAATCCGGTATCAAGATTTAAACCACTTGACGTGAATAAAAAGTTGCTAAAACTACTAATTGTTATTTGATTTAGTTCCTGCAATTTTACAAGTTTATTTCCTATACTTACTTTATTTCTTCTTATTGTACTCAGGAAGAAAGCAGATATTAACAATCTTTAAATAATAATCTACCTATATAAAATGCAGCCTCTGTATGTATGACATTTTTTTTCATAGACTGCAAAGATACTACACTAATACTCTGAGCCACACAATCATATTTTTTATGGATACTATGTGCTTGTATTCATAACAAAAATCCCATAATTATTTGTCAAAAAGAAAAAAATATTTGAGCAGTCCTCTTGTTTCAATCTTGTAAGAATTCATCTTGCACATTTATAAATCTACCATTACGTTTAAGCATTGGATATTGTTGCCATATCTGATCTGGTGCTCCTGTTATATATCATGGCTTTCTCAATTAAATCTAAAGAGCAGTCTGTCATGTTATTTTGACTTAGGTCATTTTCCCACTGCCCTGAAATGACTTCCCTATAAATATTTTCATGGCTTACAGTTCTAATGAGCTCACCTCCTTGAGATCTCAACCGCGTGGATTTACACATACTACTAGATTGGCTATTAGGTCTCATCGTTTTACTGTTGAAATATTTGGATGTAACTGTAAGTTCTATTCAAATAGTTTCTTTTCTTGCCTTCCAATTTCTTACTTCCCTGTCAACTATAATCTTCAAAAAATTAAATGCAACATCAATTGTCATCCATCTTTCTGAATCCTGTTTCCTTGCCCTTTCTCCTCACTAAAGTCTTCTCTTCAACTCCCGGTAAACCCCCTTGCATCTTAGTGGCATTATTCACCTTACTTGGGGTGAAATGAATTTGTTTCTCACTGGATAAAGTGAATTCATTGTAAAGAAAAATTTCACAAACTGAAATTGCATTTTACTTGCAGAATGTTTGTTTTGTTTTGTTTGTTTTTTTTTTTTTTTTTTTTTTTTTTTGAAATTAATGGGATATCAATGGCTGAGAAATTGGACAAGTGGAAATAATTTATAACCGCTACAAATTCAATCTTTCAACAATCAGGAGAATCTATGGTAGCCATATTCTTATGTTGATAATCAAAGAATGTAAAGCTTTTTGATTAATAGTAACATGAAATCTTTCTTTAAAACTATCCACCTGGAAGTAAACAAAACAGAAATTGGTTAAAATTCAATAGAAGTCTCAAGAGCTACTCAAGGGTTTTACTGTTAAAATGATTGATAAATGAGGCATGTGATATGAATAAGAGGTGAAGGACAGATAATTGACCCTTGATTTGAAGAGTTTAAAATTGTAGTGCTCCAGGAAGTATCCATGTGGGAGTCTGTTTCACAAAGCTGTTCAAGTGGAACTTTCTATTTATATTTGGAATATAGGGGAAATAAAGCTGATTCAACTCTGGAAGTAGCATGGTATATCCCAGCCGTAAAGGTCTGCACTGGTGGGGCCAAAAGAAGGATCTCTTCCAAACATTATCTGAACTGTCATAAAAAAAAAAAAACAAACTTACAGTTCACTAAAGATTGTAGCAGGTTTTCCTCTGAATTTCTGGGATGAGTAGTTATTTACATTCAGACTAATGTCCTCATCTTTGTTATTATTTTAGACACCTGAAGAGGGCACACTGGCTGAAACATGATAATAAAAATACAAGGACTTTTGCTTTTTTTTTTTTTTTTTTCCCCAGGACATGGGCAATCATGGTTTCCCAGAAGTTCCTGTACTCGGTCACTTTTAGAAAGCAGGGCCGGTTTAAGACCCATAGCTGCCATGAGCTCTTAAAATATTTTGGTGCCTCCTAATATATCAGCTGAGAACATACATTGTGTAAATGCCAGCAAAGTCATATAGGATCATTGGTAGCAGTTGATCACCAATTCCAACCCAGAACCACACCCAATGCCCTGGGAATTCAGCTAAAAAGAACCAATCACAGTTGAGCTGAGAATGTCAAATAAACCACAACCAAATTCTAACAAAACTGTGACCGAAAGTGGTTGTGTAATCAGCAACCCAGCACAC